TTTAAATTCTCAGCTACCTGGGACCCGTTTTAAGGGCATATGATGCCCTAAGCAGTTTGTACAGGCTGGGGGACAGAATGTTTGAGGAGCAAAGCCTGCTCTACCACTGAACAGGTGAAGTCACCTCAGGTGACAGGTGGTAGGAGCAGTAGCAAAGGGTAGAGCTGTGTGTCAAGTGAACTGCACTGCACTTGCTTCTGTTTACAGGAAAGAACACAGAAGCATAGATATTGTACCTGGGGCATGTGATTAAATGATCCTGAAATGATCCTGAAAGAAGCCACATCTTTTAATGGGTCATGAGTGGATATAATCTGACATTCTGAAGAGCCTTTCTTGGAATCCTTATGATGTTATAGATTTAGGGGTGCTTAGCCTATTGTGTAATTAGTGATCATGAGAAAGAAATCAGGTCACATGTTGGTGTTTTGCTGACAGCTTGGTGCAGCAGTGGGATTTTGTTCCCATCAGAAAGCAAGGTAAACAGCAGCACACTTTGAAAAATAAATGACATTTAATATAGTTCATGTGTAAGTGTATCTGCTTTTTAGAAGAAAAAACTGTACTGGTGCTCTTCTTCAAAGGATTTGTGAAGAACAGAATACAGGCCCTCTGGTGGTGGTTGTCATCCATCCATGGGCTGTGCCAGGCAGTGGCAGACCACAGCAGCAGCAGCAGCTTTTACCATTGATGAGTGCTTGGATTTAACCACCTATCAATTTCCCCCAATACACTGTGGAAAATTTAAATTATGGTTAGACACAGTCACTCAATTGCTCAGAGCACTGAACTGAGGTGAAAAAATGGAAACCCCAGAATGGTTTCAGTGGATGGCCCAAGGGGCTCAGCCATTGTCCAAGGCACCACAATTTTTGTTTTTGTTTCTTAACTAAATCAGGTTGATTTTATTTATTCATTTATTTAAATCCCTATTTTTAAAATGCCAATTTGAAAATAAGATGGCTTAAAAAGTGTGAATTAAATAGCACACTAAAGTCTACATTATAATTTAAAATTGAATTTATGAACAAATCCTCCAAACACCATGAATTAAAAACTGTTTTTGTTTGTTTCATTTTGTTTCTACATTTAAGAACAAACCAGGAACAAAAAAAATCCCCTGATCTTCAGCTCATAGATATACATATAATGCAATGGGATGTGTATACTATATTATTATGTAAATAATCAATATTAAGAATATAACATCTCTATTCTGTCCAGTAGCTAACTCTTTACTTCTCAACTGTTACTGGCATTTGGTATTAATAAAGTGCCCTAACTCATGTGCAACAGAGAGAGCCAAAGAAAAACAGTTAGCTTCACAACTGCTCGCTTGTCTCCAAGCAGATATAAATTTTATTGTGCAAGGGGCATATGAGATGTTGCATTGCCAGAGATTTGGGATTCTGATCTTAACTAGTTAGTATACAGGTGCTATTTAGCTATGAACCAGTATGTTTTAATTGCCATAGCAACCAATCCTTATGTATATTTGATCAAGAAAATGGCTGCTTTTGAAAAATAAAGCTTGGGTCCAAATTTAAACTGGATGAACTGCACTGATGGAAATGTATTTCTCTGCTCCCTCTTTCCAATAGCAACTCTTCTAGCCACTTGTAACATGTGAAACAGGCCTCTGTGTAGTCTTTTCAACAACCCAGCATGGGCTAATTTATCTATGGATCTTTTAAGGTTGTGTGTGATTTGTAAACCCCACAAACAACCCACTCAGGTCAGGTTTGTGTACCATGTCAAGCTGCAGTGCTATGCTTCAGGTTGTTGTTGTTGTTGTTGTTTTAATGGTGGCTAGTGTGCATGGGCAAGCTGCATGAATAAATTACACCATGGTGGTTTGTTGTGATTCATGAACAGGTAAATAGATCTTGTGGAAGGGGGTGGTCTGCAGTGTATAAAGAAGAGAAGGATATCCACAAAATGAATATCCACAAAAAGTGAAGAGGCTTTCTGGGAGTACAATCCTCCATTTTGAGAATTGCCCCTTCTCTCTTAAAGAATATAATGCTGATCCAACCTGCTAAATTTGATTTAAACTGTTTTTCTTGGTGATTTAAATATTTCTGATCAAACCTATAAATGGTCTTGATATAGATAATTCTATCATCTAGTTATGAAAAATTAGCAATGTGTATGCATTTGTGAACAGGCCCATAGGCAATGTAGCTATCAAGGGCAGCATAAATCCACACAGTTCTTCATGGAAGTCTGGTGTGTAGAGAAGGAAGCATTGCCTGCCCAAGGGCTCAGATATTTTAATGCAACAGAAGCTTTGAATAGCTGTCCCAGTCTTCTCAAATGAAAAAGAAAACATGATTTGTATTTGTCGTGAAGTATTCACACAACCACTTACTAAATGCCTAAAGTCATTCCACATTTACCCACATTTCAGATCATTTTTCAAGTCTAAATGAAATACCTTGTAAAAGGAGTGGGCATTAAAATAAAGAATTCATTAAAAGGATAAGAAGACTTTCAGCTGAACCAAGCAAGGAACACACATAAACAAGGAAGGAATGGGGAACATTTTGCCATCTATTGTTCCCAGCATTAGGCTCTTCTCCAGGGAGTCCTTCCTTCTCATTAGGTGGCCTCATTTGTATTTGAGTTTCATCTTCAATATCTGGCCTTCTAAAGAGCAGTCAGGGTTGATCGCCTCTAAGACTGGTTTAATCTCCTTGCAGTCCAAGGGACTCACAGGAGTCTCCTCCAGCACCACAATTCAAAGACCTCAATTCTTTGGCACTCAGCCTTCTTTATGGTCCAGCTTTCACAGCCATACATTCAAGGAGAATTACAGGCCAGTTAGTCTAATGCCCATTCTGGGAAAGAATTATGAGCTTTTCCATCATAAGGAAAGCTCTAGAAACCCTAGACAAGGAGGGTGGGTTGGTAGTCACACAACATGGTAGCCACACAACAACATTTGTCAAAGGTCCTGCCTGACAAACCTTGTGGAATTCTATGAAAAGATTTCAAAGTGGCTAGACAGATGGTACATGGTGGGTTTCAGCAGGGCCTTTGAGAAAGTGCCACATGATATCTGGGTTAAGAAACTGATGAACTTTGGGATAGATCGATGGACTTTCTGATGGATTAGGGCATAACTGATTGACCACAATCAGAGGGTAACTGTCAGTGGGAAGTCATCAGGATGACAGTCACTGATGAGAGGATTTCCCCGGTGCTCAGTTCTGGTCCCATTTCTGTTCAACCTCTTTATCCATGACCTGGGGAGCAGGGGAATCAGTCTGCTGACCAAATTCACAGACAATACCAAAGTGGGGGGTGCTGAGCACATCTGGGAAGCAGGTACTCAAAATCCAAAAGGATCTACACAGACTGTGGAAGTGGGTGGGGGACAACAGGATGGTGTTTAATGTGGGTAAGTGGAAGGTCTTGCACTTGGGACACAGGAATAGGTACAGGTTGGGGGACAAGTAGCTGGAGAGCAGCCCCTATGAAAGGGATCTCAGAATAGCAGGTTAAACATGGGCCAGCAGTGTGACATGGCAGTTAAAAAGGCATACATCATGCCTGGATGTATAGCCCAGAGGGTGACTTCCAGGTTGAGGAAAGTGTTATCACTCCTCTGTAAGACTCTGGTTCGCCCATAACTGGAGTACCATGTCCCATTCTGGGCTCCATGGAGTGACATAGCTAGTCTAAAATCAGTTCAGTGTAGGGTCACAAGATGGTAGCAGGATTGAGAGAAATGACATGTGAAATAAGATTGAGGGATCTGGGTCTTTTCTGCCTGGAGGAAATTCAGAGGGGATCTTATAACAGCATATAGGTATGTGATGGGATGTTACACAGTAGGGGGTCATGACCTGTTCTCCCCTGCAGTGGAGGAAAGGATGTGGTCCAATGGGGCAAAGCCTAAGGAATCAGATGTTAGGTTTGATGTCAGGAAGTACTTAGGAAGTATGACCTGTAGGATATGGAAAGGGCTTCCATGGGAGGTGATGGGGGCCCTGTCAGTGAGGGTGTCAAAAGAAAGATTGGACAACCGCATGGATATTACATGAGCAGATCTGGCTGGAGCTGGGGGTCAGACTAGATGAATCAGAAGGCCCCTTCTGACTAGGTATGTTTCTATATTGGCTGCCAAGAGATACATGGTATGCACTGTAAACCAGAATTGCCTATTTAAGCCACCATGATTAATCATGATTGCGTGAGCCTGCATACAAGCTGGTTTCATGCAGTACTCAACAATGGTTTGGCAGTATTATGATGAATCACAGTTAGTCTCTTGTGCTTATAATCCATATGTTAATTTGAATAGTTTCAACAATTCAATTACTCTAGGATAGTGGTGGTGAACCTTTGGCACACATGCCGCAGCAGGCCTGTAGAGCCCTCTCTGTTGGCACGTGAGCCAAGTCGGCCCAGCATCACCCCAGCAGCTGAGCATCGGATAACAGCGCACAGAGGGGCCATGCGCATTCTCGGAAACGAGTAGCGACACCAGGCGATGATGTCAGCTGCAGTTCATTAGCTGTGACTTGTCCAAGCTTTCACATGGCCGGTCAGTGCACTGGACTGGCTGTGAGTTGTTTTTTCTAAACTAAAACCTCAGTATTCAGGTTTTATTGCAGTGTTGGCACTGTGATAAATAAGTGGGTTTTGGGTTACAGTTTGGACACTTGGTCTCTAAAAGGTTTGCCATCACTGCTCTAAGAGGAGATCTGACAGTTCAAATATCTACTGATAACTAAGCAGATGAACAAAAGATACATTATCCCTGGAAAAAGCTCTGTTATGGTGTTGTCTTTCCCTTCATTTCTGCTTAAGTTCACCATGGTTTTGCATGCTTAACTATGCAACTCACTACCTTGGGACCCTCTGCAAATCATTACAATGGACATTTCTCTTTATGCAGGCACATAAGAAAATGTCTTGGAATAGAATCAAGGAATAAACGAGAACACAAGGTTCTCTCTGCTTGGGATTTTACCCCTCTTGTCACGCCGTCTCACGATGTCAAAGAAGGGTTCCAGCTTTCGAGCCAAAGGAGAAAGACCGGATGGTTTAGCTGCCTTGCAAGCTGCTAATGAAGAGCTCAGGGCAAAGCTCACAGACATTCAAATAGAACTCCAGCAAGAAAAGAGTAAGGTGTGCATATTTTTGTTTACCCCATTGTTCAAAAGGAAAACCATCCCAGTACCGCTGGTTTCCACTCACCTGTTACCATGAAGAAATAAACCTTACATAAGTATTCTGTAGCTCTCTTCCTGTGCTGAATGAAATCACATAATTTTGCATATTGCATCACAGCATGATTGTTTTAATAAAGAACCATGACTGTTTTAATAAAGAACTATGCCTGTGATAGCATAATGTGTGTCAATATGTTAGATTCATTTTGGTAATAGGATTTGAGCATGGTCCTGGATCTGTAAACTGGGTAGCTGATCATTAGAAAGATGCAGTCTATATTAAGCAGGATCCTTTTCTCAATATTATTGTTGAGGAAGGAAGCATGAAGGTTATTTAAAATCTATTCTTTCTATCAATGCTCATTTTGATGAATTATTTAGATATTCTCTAATTAGTCCCCTATGGAGGCAAGAGCAGCTGTATTGTCAGCATGTTTATACACCAAGAAGTATTTATGAATACTTGGGGGCAGGGAAAGATGGCGTAAATCTATAAATACATGAAACAGGTTGTTTTGGCAATTTCTGTTGAGCACAATCTAGCTCTTAATTCTAAAATTAAATTATTCATGCTTAATGTGTTATGTTGACAGCCTGGAATGTAGGAATATGTATCTGATTTAGGGTAGCCGACCAAACCTGGAGACAAATTACACCTGCTCAAAATTCTGGTTTGCATTAACTTTCAAATTAACTGCTCTGCAGAGCAGCAGAGGCACAGGCTGGGAGAGAGCACTGAGTGGCCAGGGGACTGGCAAAGGCAGGGTAGGAGCTGGGCAGGGGAGCAGAGGGCCAGGAGCAGCAGAGAGGAAGGGGGCGGGGCCAGAGGGGCTAGAGGGGCCAGGAGGAAGCAGACAGGCGGGGCCACCGGCCTGAGGGACTGATAAGGCAGCACTCAGCCACTGCAAGCCCTTTTGGCTCTGGCCTCTTGGCAGAGCAGCAGAGGAACAGGCTGGGAGAGAGCGCTGAGTGGCCAGGGAACTGGCAAAGGCAAGGTAGGAGCTGGGCAGGGGAGCAGAGGGCCAGGAGCAGCGGAGAGGAAGGGGGCGGGGCCAGAGAGGCTAGAGGGGCCAGGAGGAAGCCGACAGGCGGGGCCACCGGCCTGAGGGACTGATAAGGCGTCGTCCCTTGTCTGCATCCCTTAGCTGCGGCCCGGGCTATCCAGAGACTCCCTTCCCTGAGACACAGAGGTTTGTTTGTTTTGTTTGTGCTGTGCTATGCTATGCTTTGCATTGTTTTTCTTCCAATTTAAATGTAAGTTTATTTTATCCTTGTGTGTGTGTGCGAGTGGGCTTTTGTCTGGGAGAACTGGGCGAGTGAGAGGAACTGCAGGACAAACAAGGCAGGGGACCAAGGTAAGGTCTTGGAAGGGATACCAATGGCAGACCAGGAGAGGGCCTTGGCGGGAGTCATGGGTGTTGCTCTCCACTGTGAGAGCCGCAACATGTTCGCCCTTCTCCCCCAGGAGAGGCAGGGATACACTTGCCCTCGGTGCAAGATGGTGACCCTGCTAGAAGAGGAGGAGAGGTGCCTGAGGGCCGAGAGAGCTCTCCAGGGCCCCCCGGAGCAGCCCCCCTCTGGACGGAGGGTTGAGGGAGAGGCCACGGGAGGAGCAGCTGCAGAGACATGGAGGTATGTCACGCACAGGAGGAGGAGGCCAGCACGGCCTCCTCCTTCTCCTGGCACCAATCTGGAGCTGGGAAACAGGTTCTCTCCACTTGAGGAGGCTGGGGCTGATGAGGCCTCGGGGGACCAGCAGGACCCCCGGCCTGGGACGTCAGGCGGCAAGGGGGCCACTGCGGGAGAGGCGAGGGCCAGGACACGGCCGCCCATGAGCACCGGGAAGGTACGGCAGTGGGTGATTGTTGTTGGGGACTCCCTGCTGAGGGGCACTGAGGTGGCAGTGTGCCGCCCCAACCTGGAGACAAGGGAGGTTTGCTGCCTGCCGGGCACACAAATCCGGCATGTGATGGACAGAGTGGAGTGTCTTGTTCGCTCCGGCGGTCATCACCTGCTCCTGGTGATCCACGTGGGCACAAACGATGTGGCCAGGCAGGGTGTGGTTGGGACCACCAGGGACTTTGAGGCCTTGGGGAAGAAACTCAGGGAGCTGAAGGCCCAAGTGGCCTTCTCATCAATCTTACCTGTCCGGGGATTTGGGTCAGGAAGGGACAGGAGGGCCTCCGAGGTGAACGACTGGCTTAGGGTGTGGTGCCAGAAGGAATGCTTCAGGTTCCTCGACCACGGCAATTGTTTTCTTGCCAATGGACTTCTGGCAAGGGACGGGTTACACCTCACGAGGTTGGTGAAAAGGTCCTTTGGAGATGCTCTAGTGAGCTTCGTCCGAAAGACTTTAAACTGAGCCGGGGGGGGGGGTTCAGGCCCCCCAGTAACGTGTCTGCACTGGACAAGTGTGGGGGAAGGATCAGGGCTCTGGGAGCAGGGTTTTAGAGATACTGCAGGGACTGACGGGACTCCTACAGAGAGCGACCAGTATCAGGGAGGATGGGAGGAAGGAGGAGGCTGGGAACTCCAAGGAAAGGAAGCAGTGGGAAAGAGTTGAGGTGCATGTACACCAGTGCTAGGAGCATGGGTAACAAGCAGAAATAGCTTGAAGCTCTCCAGGGAATAGGAGGGTATGATCTGGTGGGAATCACAGAAACTTGGTGGGATGAAAGGCAAATCTGGAATGTGAACATAGAAGGGTATCACTTTTTTAGAAAGGACAGGAAGGGAAAGAGGGGTGTGGGCGTGGCTTTATACGTCAGGGAAGGGATAGGATGCAGTGAGATAGAATGCAGCACAGATGAGGATTCGGTACAGGCTGTCTGGGTGAAACTTAGGGGTTTTGACAGGGAAAGAGACCTGACAGTGGGGGTATGTTATCGCCCTCCAGGTCAACTTGAGACCCTGGATGATGTCCTGACAGGCCAGATTCTAAGGATATCTCAGGGGAGAGACACAGTAATTATGAGAGATTTCAGTCTCCCGAATATTACTTGGGAGACTCACTCGGCGTTGACAGCCAAGTCACATCACTTCCTAGAAGCTATAGCTATAGAGGGAGCATTTTTCACACAGGGTCCGAGAGGCGATGACAGGGGGAAACATCCTTGACTTGGTCTTGACCAATAGGGAGGAGCTGACAGATGAAGTACAGATTAGGGGAGCTCTGGATGCGAGTGATCACTCCATCCTTTGCTTTGAGATCAGGGGACTGAGGACATGCAGCAGGTCAAACACTAGAAGCTGGGAGTTCAAGTGGGCCAACTTTGGCCAATTGAAGGCCAGACTGGGGAGAGTCTCCTGGGATAGGTTACTGGAAGGTAAGCGAGTTCAGGAGGGGTGGATAGCACTCTGAAGGGAGGTTTTGGAGGGGCAAGCCTTGACGATACCTCTAGTCAGTAAGGTGGGAAGGTGGAGGAGAGTGCTGCCATGGATGCGAAAGGAGGTGGTTAGAGGGATTAGACGAAAGAGGAACCTCCGTAGGAGGTTCCTCTTTCGTCTAATCCCTCTAA